CCAATTCTCCCACCCTGTATTCATACTAAGGTACGAATGGCTCATAATACCTTAATAAAGCATTACTCAAGGCATTTTTAAATTTTAATCATTTAACTAGAGATATAATTGAGCTCCAAAGTAAAATTTAACACAGTGACTAGAATGATAGATATTGGGTCTCTATAGTAACTTTAAACAAATCATAGAGGAGAGAGGAAAATAAGTAACTGATTACAATGATGGATTCAATAGTTCTGCTAACTAGCAGACTAGTATTGGATCTGGAGATGATTACAAGGGTCTTTATTACATCTGAGACATGAAAGACAAATGTCCTGGGCGAGTTAAGACATGGCCTGTGAGCCCTGTTTCTGCCCTTTGCTAACTGGATAATCCCAGGCAATTCACTAAACTATGAAATGGAGACCATATGGAAGTATCTAGCACAGTGTCTGCAATACAGTAGATAATCAATAAATGTGCTATTGATAGTTCTAGGCCCCAATTAAGCCAGCATTTATACTTCAGTGAAGTTTTGGAGTTACCTGTAACTTTGATGTTGAGTTTGGAATCTACTACAAAATCAAGAGTCATTGAGAGCATGGTTTATTGCTTATTTCTTGAACTATTCCCCCTTTCTTCTCCTCTGCCTTCCAGTACATTGAGCAGTGCCTAGCACATACTAGGAGCTCAATTAATGTTTGTTGAACTAAGCCTTTACACCAGACTTCCTTACTCATTCTTAAGAAATACTGTTTTTTTCTCAAGATACAAGAATTACAGGAGCATCACCCACCCAGACTCTTGACAAGGAGAAGTGATAGAAGTACTTCCAGTTTGCAGACGGTTCTTCTGGGAAGCAGGAGAGGCCAGGAAAGGGTTAAGATTGATCCCTGGGAGGGTTGAAGCCTGACAAGCTTGGAGGTTACTGAGGGCTGAGAGCTGTTTCTCACACAGAGACTTGAGTGGAGGAATTCATAGAATCAAAGAAATATAAGTATGAATGATCTTAGAAAGCACCCAGAAATCGACCTCAGACCCAGGTAGGATGTGTGGCTTGTATAAAAGCAGACAAGTAACAAAAAAGCCGGGTCCAGGGTCCAAGGCTTGACACCTTATTCAGTGATTTTTCTCAAGACAACACTGGAGTTGGTTAAAAAAAAAAAAAAAAAAAAAAAGTGCATTTAAAAAATATATTTAAAAATAAAAATAAAAAATATATTTTTAAAATTTTTATTATTATTACTTTTTTTTTTAAGAGAGCATTTCCAAAACTCTGTTTGGAACAGGAGAAATGAAATACATCACTCCTTAGGGCATGGGGTATAATGTTAACTGATAAGGGTCCTATTTCACATCAGCCTTCTCTATCAAGGAAATTGATCTTTTGCATGACAAAAAGGATAGTCTGAGTTTTAAGATAGGTGAGAAGATATAAGGAGAGTACCTAATCCATTTAATTGAATTCAAGCCTCCAGACCCTAAGAAATTCCATTTCAAAATACTAAAAGAACTTGAGGCTGTTATAACAGGCTCCTGAGAGAATGATTAGCCACCTTAAAGGAAGGGTTAACCGGCTGCCTGGGGTTAACGATTTTTACAAGGCCAGAGGCAATTTCACACCCAAGCCTCCCTGTCCAGCAGTTTCTACTCTACCAGGTGACTCTGGCATCTAAACAGACTAGTTTAATCCTTCATACAATCAAGGTTTTGAATGATTGCAATGAAGCAACCAAACCAACAAAATGAAATTTAATAGAGCACATGGTAGATCCTGCATTTAGTATTATCTTTTAATCTGCACAAATACAAAGCAGAGGAGATGTACAGTAAAAATAATTCATGTTCAAAAGATCAAGGATCTTGACTGAAGGGCGCCTTGGTCAAGCGACTGAATCTTTTTTTTTTTTTTTTCAAGCGACTGAATCTTGGTATTGGCTCAGGTCATGATCTCTGGGTCATGGAATCGAGCCCAGGTCAGGTTCCCAAAGCTCATCAGAGTCTACTTAAGATGCTCTTTCTCTATCCTTCTGTCTCCCCCTAACCCCTATGCTCACTCTCTCTCTCTCTCTATCTCTCTAAATAAATCAGTCTTTAAAAAAAAAGGATCGTGGTTGACTCCAAGTATATGTCTTTGATACAGCTGCCAAAGTGGCTAAAGAACTCTTGGGAAGCATTAATTGTTCAGAATAAAGGAGACTTAACTCTGAGAAACGAACTAGGGGTGGTGGAAGGGGAGGTGGGCAGGGGGTTGGGGTGACTGGGTGGCGGGCACTGTGGTGGGCACTTGACGGGATGAGCCCTGGGTGTTACTCTGTTGACAAATTGAACACCAATAAAAAATAAATTTATTTAAAAAAAATAATAAAGGAGACTTGAACTACTGTACTTTGTCAATCAGAACTCATCTGCAGTATCCTGTTCAATTCAGTAGGTGTCCAAGGAAAGGTAAAGAAGATAATACAATTCTAGAAGCCATGTCATATGACAACTTGAAGGACTGACAAATATTCATTTGGAGAACAGAAGACTGTTCAGTTTTAGTGACTTAAATATGACAGAAGCTGTTATTTTACTGTGTGGCTTTATAAGACAGAACTAAGATTAACTACTAGGCAAACTTTTATGTCATATAAGGGAATAGAAACTCATATTGGTTGAATATAAAGGCAAACTTTTATGTCATATAAGGGAATAGAAACTCATATTGGTTGAATACCCACCATGTGCCTTTTGCTGTGTTGAGTGCTTTGTATTATTTTGTTCAAATCTTTCAGAAATGGATGGATTTTGGGGGGGTGTTAAGATTCCCGTTGCTGGCAGTCAGATGTCCAGCTCAGCACTGCTCATGTATGGCCGCAGTGACCTCTCTTCTGCTTCTCAGACTTGGGAATACCATCCAGGCCCCTCTGAAGCCAGTGTCCTGCTTAAAAGCAGACTCTCTGGGTGGCAGAAAAGACCATTTGTGCTTTTGCAACGTGGATTTCCAGTATAGCTTCAAGGTTCCAAGTCCCCACTGGATTGCTGACTGCAAGTATTGGGCTACTGTGTCCTTATTTTCCTAAGCTCCTATTTCTTAGCCAGTCTTGAATGTTGGGTTGCTCCCACGTCTACCTAAGATGTGTCTGTGGGAAGGGCTGGGCACTAGAGGAGAACCTGGAAGTTCAACTTCTGAGGTTTGCATGTCTGGAGATGGCACAGAAAGTAATACCCTGGATATAGGTTTCTTGGCCAATTGCAGCCATTTTCTTCGCATATACCTATAGTCTTAGAATCACTCCAATGCTGAAACCCTTCAGCCTAAGGAATGCTTCTGGCCAGTGAACAGTATCAGCCAAGATCCTGGCAGGAACCAGAATTCAACTTGGAGGATTCCACTGAAGAGTTTAGTGAGGGGACCATCATAAAGGTGTATGATCATGGGATCAGCAGAACTTCACATGCGCCAGGCACATTCCAATGTCAAGGCTGTGTACCTGCTATCTCCCCATCAGCTACACCACCACCTACCTACCCCCCCCCCCCAAAGCTCTCCATCATCCACGTGGCTTCCTCATCTCATTCAGGTCTTGGCTATAATACTACCTTCTCAAATGAGCATTGTAGCTGTCGCTCCTCATCCCCTTCCTTCTCCCCAACCTAACTTTTTATAGCATCTAATATCATCTGATATTTCTCTTTTTTAATAATTTATTATTTACCTCTATTCACTAGAATGTGGGCAGAGAGTTTTGTGTGTTTTGTTCATTGCTATAATCCCAGTGCCTGAAACAGTAACTACCCGGTCCAAGAAAGAGTCTCAATAAGTATATGTTGAATTGATGAATGCTAATTGTACTTATTAGAGCTCACAGAGGGAATCACCCAAAAGTGGCAACTGATCCATCCTTTGCTTCAGCTGGCTGATCACACTCCTGCCCTTTTAGGGGAGGCCGGCTGTAGTGAAAGAGCTTTTATATGGCCACGAGAGGGTGCTGTGGATCAGTTTTTCATTTTTTTTTTTGGCGTCCTGAGACCCTTAACCCTCTCCTCCCTGAACCCCCAAAGAAAAGGTAGGACAGGGTTGTGTCTACAGCCAAAGCAAACATACAGTGTGTCTCTGCCATGAAATGCAGTTAAAACCTGTTAAAATCTGTGTCAAGAATGGTGTTGAAAGGACAGAAGGTCATCAGAAAGCAAGAGTCTGAGGAATGTACAGGAGGGAGGAGACGCCAAAAGTACAAGGAGCATTTGCAGGAAGACAAGTAGAGCAGTCTCAGGTCCTGCAGGATATCGGAGGAGACAATATGGGAGAGATGGCATTTGAATTAGGATTTGAATGATAGATCGGTGCAAAATTGTGTTCTGATTTTACACACTATATTTTACTTGTCATTTCAATTTTAGGGTAATTTTCTTGTCAGTTGAGAATGAGTAACCATCAGTGTACATGAGAAAAAAACAACAGGTCAGCTTTTCAGGACATCTCACCCCCATAATACATAGTGAAATATAAAAATAAAAGAGCTTTAGGAAGGACAATGTGTTGTTAAAATATTTAATGAAAGCAAGTCTTATACCCACCTCATGATTCCTCAGTTGAACAGCCTTTGTGCCCACCCCAGAGGAAGTGGAGAATGTTACAAATGAAGAGATAATTTTTTTTCCCTCTACTATGTTTTCAGTATGGAGCAGAGAGTGGAAGTATTGGGAAGGTTTTCTTTTCTTTCTTTCTTTCTTTTTTTTTTTTTTTTAAGTTTTCTTTTCTTAAAACAGGTGGAAACTGGGAATGTCTAATGAGGCCCCAGGACTCACAGACCAAATTCACAGACCAACACAGTGAACTCTGGTCAAACATATTCTTTATTTAAAAGAGAGCCACTCCAAAGGGAAAAGCAAGGGAAGAGAATGAAATGAAGAGGTCAGATGTCCAAGTCAAGGCTCCCACTTCCTTCTTGGTCCATCCCAGACTCAGGGCTATAGCCATGTCCCCCCTTTCTCCACTGGGTACAGCGTGGAGCCCCTCACATCACTTTAGCCTAATGGGGTAGAACTTCTTCTACCTCTAGAGTGAGGAAGGGAAATAAGACCTCCCTCAGCCTCTTCAAGGTGTCCCTGCTCATTACCATGGGTAGGGCATCCACAAGAAGGTCTGGATTTATGTACTGCAGGTGGAAAAGTACATAGCCCAGCAGCCTAACGAAGATCATGACCATGAAGACAAGACACCTGAAATGTCTGCAAAGAGACATTCTTGGTTAGCCTAGGGGAGAGAGAACAGCCCAGGACCCAGCTTTGGGGGTGACACTCACACTCATAAATAACTGAATTGCTTTCTTCAGGGCAAAACTGATGGAGTATAAAGACACAAAGGATGAGGGGAAGGGATAGGGAATAACAGAAAAAGATCCATGGAGTGGTTAGAAACTGCATATGGCTTTCCTGACACGTAAGCCCTCTGACAGACTAGATGTCTCCTAGAAAAAGTTGGAGGTGCAAAAGGAGATTTTCCAGGTAATACTTATGTGGCAGGCCTTTTGGAGGTTGCCAGAAAATGTTCAGGACTATGAGTCTATGAGTCTCATGACCAGTAGCCTTCCTCGGGTTTACTATAGGAAGCCATTCTAGAATTTGAAATAAGATTGGGACATTTCTGACATTAATGTCCAGGCAAAATCATTAGGATAGGTTTTTTCTAAACATCAAGTGTCAAAAGAGACCAAGTTAAACAATAAAAGATGTGCGTGCATGTGTGTGTGTGCGTTTTCTTGTGTGCCCCAAGAAAATTTCACACTGAAATCTTGTCTAAGGCCCTCAGTCTTCAACTATATTAAAATCTCATAAATTGAAGCTCTTCATTAAAGGGCCACATGGAGCATTTCAGAGTTAGTCTGCTTGTTTCACAGAGAGTTCAGGTGATTTTTGTTTTCTAAAATTTTACAGCTGGGCAGCCTTGGTGGCTCATCGGTTTAGCGCCACCTGCAGCCTGGGGTGTGATCCTGGAGACCCTAAATCCAGTCCCACGTCGGGCTTCCTGTATGGAGTCTGCTTCTCCCTCTGCCTGTGTCTCTGCCCCCTCTCTCTCTCTGTCTCTATGAATAAATAAAATCTTAAAGAATAAAATAAAATAAAATAATAAAATTTTACAGCCACCTGGGTGACTTAGCTGGTTAAGCATCTGTCTTCAGCTCAGGTCATGATCCCAGGGTCCTGGGATGGAGCCCCAAGTCCCCAAGTTAGGCTCCCTGCTCAGCAGGAAGCCTGCTTCTCCCTCTCCCTCTGCCCCTCTGCCCCCCTTCCCCTCTACCCCTCTGTGCTTTTCTCTTTCTTTTTCTCAAATAAATAAATAAAATATTTTTAAAAATTTTACAGCCTATAGTAAAAGAACTGAAAGAATGAGTGCACCCTGAACTGTCTTTCCAACAAAGAGTATAGCAGAGATTACCAGGTTCAGGATCTGAAAAATAGAAAGGAGCACACCAAGAACCATAAAAATGGAAATGTAAAGTAAAATGCAACCTGCAGCCTTCATCTTGAACAAATAGCTATTTTTTCCAGCCACCAAGTTCTGCTTAACTCTGATGCTGGGGAAAGAAGGAAGGAAAGGTTGGGAAAAATCTGGGGCTGCCTGATAGTTTCTTGTTGGTGGGTATATTTATCCTTATTCCTTATGTCCTTACCAAGTCACTCACTTTTATAGAGCAAATGTAGCCTAGACTAGATAAAAGCCAAGATTCTACCACTTACCTGTACCAAAAGATTCTCTTCTGTTTCTTAATGATGGTCTTCTCCTATGAGAAGCAAGAAAAGCCACAGATGTGCCTGTCCATGCGGTCACAGAGAGACAGTGTAGCAGGGTGGCTAAGAGCCACTGGGGTAGCGGCCATAGGGTATGGAACAAGGCACTGATCTTCATTATGTCCTAACTCTAGGTTTATTAAAAAGGGGAGGGGAATGCAAGGAGCAGAAAGAGAAAAGCCAGGGGAGGGATGGATGAAAGAAAACTCAAACGTGGGACAAGGAAAACTTACCATGTTGCTTTGGATGGTCTCTACCAGAATTGAACCAGGTTTCACTATTTGGGAAGAGTTGTTCTGGGCTTTGAATCTGGGTGAAAAAGATCAGATCCAAGAAATATATAACTCATCTGAGGAGCTGATGAAAGGTGCTTTTCTAAGCCATGCAACATCTATGATTTATATCCTGGATTCTTGATAACACTCAGTGTTTAACATTCAAAACTTATAATGGCTCAACATACAGAGAAACTAGCAAAGTGTGGTCCATTCTTAAGGGAAAAGACAATCAATGAAGAATAACCCTGACATAACCCTGATGTTGGGCTGAAACTGCAGAAAGTCTTACAAATATATAGTCACTTGACTTATAAAACAAGGCACCACTGAAAATGCATGTTCTCTTAAATAAATGGTGCTTGGTCAATTGGCTCTACACAGAAAAATCATTATCTTGATCTCTACCTCACACAATAGAAGAAAAACAAATTCCAGATGAATGCAAATCTAAGTGTAAAAGGTAAAATAATAAACAAAATTAGGGTAAAGCATAGGAAAATAATTTTATGACCTGAAGTCTAAGAAAATAAAGCTGGTCTGAGAAGCTTTGTCCCCTTCCAAGATGTCCCGGGAACTATCACTGCAGTCCCATTGGGGACATCATTTTTCCAAACTTACACTTCTTTTTCAAGAAGCAGCACCTCTTTTTCCTTTTCCATCTGCCTCAGAATTTCCTGGTATTTCTTCCCATGGAAAAAAAAATTGTTAGAATGAAGAATTTCCCCATATTTCATTTCAATGTCATTGATGATTCTCTAAAGTTATCCCTAATAGTCTAAATGGTGCATGCATGAGTGTGCACACATGAGTAGGGAAATATTCTAATAAAAAATGAGAGATACTGGGACTAGGTGAATATACATGAAAAGAAAAAAAAAAAGAGTTCCTTCTTTGAATTCTGCTTGTATTCAAATCCCAGCTCTGATGCTTAAAATTGTGTTCCCAGAGCACATTACCTAACTCCCCCAAACCCCAGTGTCCTTGATTATAACAATAACATCCCCATAGTTTCATTGGACAAATTGATGGAGAAAAATACTATATGTTGTGCCAGTGCCTGGCACAAAGTAAATCCTTAACATACGTCTGTTTTGTTGTTATTGCTGTTGTACAAAAGGCATTTTGCCCAGTGGCAGATTTTAGCCTAATGAGAAACCAAAGAACCCCTGGCTTTGGAGAAATTCCACCTCTACTCTGACTTGCACCTGTAGGCAGCATACCTTTATGTAGTGGGCCTGGTCCTCACAGAGCTGATGCAAAGATTGGTAGTCACTCTCTATCTAGAAAGAAAAGAAAATTAACAGATCTCATCAGAACCAAGCCTAGGCTGCTCCTGGGTACCCTAACTGGTGCATTGGACATTTCACTGATAACCTAGCAACTTCTTACTTTAAAGGCAAACAAGCACATCACAGAGCAGTGATCTAATCATTCATGGACATGGTATAATTTTGAGCAAAACAAAAATTGTTGGCTCAGGTTGTCGTATGCCTGTCAGGGGAAACAGCAGGAGAGGTATCAGTGCACTTAGGCTTGGGATTCAATGATAGTATTTTGAATAGTAGAGATAAAAGGGTGTTTAAGAAATGGTGAAATCACTACTTCTAATATAAGTTTTCTTTCCCTTCACCTGCATGTGAATCAGAAATTCATCCACCAGATTCTTGCTCCTCCCCATCCTGTGCCCCAAGCTGTCCTGTTTCTAAGACCTTTGGGGTTCTCTGCCATTTATATCCTGGACAGACCTTCCATGAGGAGAAACTGCCTCTACCTTGAACAGCTCCTTCTCTTGCTTTGTGCAGGATTCTGTTGACTTTTGTAGTCTCACCTGGAAGACAGCCGAAAGTGAATAGCATTGTCTTGTGGAAAGCAAATGGGTAGTGATCACCCTCTCTCCAAGACCAGCAAAGAAACATGATAAAAATAGCTACCCTATATTGAGGGATTGAAGACACATTGTAATAATCTGGGGTGGGTATTGTCATTAGCTCTATTTGTTAGATGAGAAGACAAAGGCAAGAAGTTAAGTGCTTAACTTTGAAAGTCACACAGTGGCAGAGCTGACCTTTGTGCCCTGGTCATCTGACTCCCCAGTCTCTGGGCCTTACCATCCTCCTTCCTCTAGCCCAACTGACCAAAGCTCATGGGCCTCTTTCTCCCTCTTATATTCCATAAGGTGTACTCACACACCCTCTGAATCACAGAGCAAAAAAGAAATCTCATGCCTCCCTTTCAGAGAAAAAAAAAAGGAATAATAGGGCTCTGGCATGGTAGGCTCAGCCAAATTGCCACATTCACCATGTAAATCTGCAGAAAGGTTCCCAACAGGGTATCTGTCTGTCCTCTGTTGGGCATCTAGTTCATTCATTCATTTATTAATGCATTCATTCAACAAATATTGAGTATCTACCATATGCCAAGTGCTGTTTTTAGGCACTGGAGAAATAGGAGTGAACATAGATTAAAAACTCTTGCCCTCATTGGGCTTACCTTCTAATAGAAGAAAAAAAATAAAATAAATTTCAAAAATAAACTTTTTGGGGGGAATCCCTGGGTGGCTCAGTGGTTTAGTGCCTGCCTTCAGCCCAGGGTGTGATCCTGGAATCCCAGGATTGAGTCCCGCATCAGGCTCCCTGCATGGAGCCTGCTTCTCCCTCTGCCGGTGTCTCTGCCTCTCTCTCTGTGTCTTACATGAATAAATAAAATCTTTAAAAAAACAAAACTTTTTTGGACCATAAGGCATGGGTTGGAAAATGAGATAAGATTACTGACATATCTCTGTATAATTACGGAAGTTAGTATTCTCATCCTACTCGAATATCTGTATTGTGTGTCATTCAGACCCTAAGCTTCTTGGCAGGCCCTCATGTGCTTCAGCACGTGTGTTCTAGTGACTGATGGGTGTTGAGATCTCTGGAGCAATCCCCTCAACTTTGATGGCATTGAAGTTACCTCTGCAGTTACGTGACTGATCATGTCCTGAATGTCACATGGGCCATGAGGTAAAAGACACTGGCTCACTCTGATAAGCACACAGACATACTTAGCTTGGGAGAGTCCTTTGAAAGCAGTTCCTCCCCAGACCTAGACTTGACACATCTCCCAGAAAATCTCAAGGTTTGCTTTTCTGCTCACCTTCAGTTCTGCCAACATCTGCTTTAGGGTTTCTTTATCAAGGCCATCATTCTTACGTCTCCTTGAAATCTGAAATACCACCCCCAAAAACATGAACTGAGTGGGGCCACACAGACATAAAAAGCTGGGCTAGACTTTGGGGTCTCAGGGCTATGGAATGATGATTAATTAACCTAGATCCCAGATAGAGTGTCTCCTTCTTGCTTATGGGAGCTGCCTAAATCCAGGGTGGCTGGTTAGACCCCTTTTTGTTCCCATAGGCCATGAAAACAACTATACAAGGAGCAAGGAGGAAGAGGGGGAAGAGACAAGAGGGCAGAACAGTTGGGGGAGGGAGGGAAAAGTCTTTTCTCCTATAGTCCCTTAGTTCTCTCATCAAATCTGTAATGCCAGGGAACAAGTCGGGGTGTTAATCAGAGTTTGTCCTAAGAAATTGAGTAGGCAGCAGAGGAGAGGGAGCACACACATTTAGCTGGTTGCTCCTTCTTGGGTCTTTCTGACTAGAGAGTTCAGGGGTTCATACTATTCTGTCAAGATTCCTAAGAAGTGAACCTCCTTCAAGGGTGGCTCTCTTTACCTTCTTCTGAAGCTCCACCACATTCCTGCTTAGAATCTTGTTACTTTTTTCCTGTGGAAAGGAAGAGGTAAAGGGGATAAACTGCTCTGCTTTTGTACTTTCCCCCTCCCTGGGTCTCTAAAATATGGTCTGGGGATAATGTATGGAGCAGGGGAGGGGAGTGGGGAGTACACTCTGGCCCCACACAGAGGATCTGGGAAGAGAGCCCAGGCCTAGGAAACCCCATGCCAAACGCTTCATTCTCGGAGCTTTCTCCTCTGATTTCTCCAGACATAGCAATGATCATGGATGATAATCCCCTGAGGAAGAGAGCAGCAGCTGACTGCAAGCCAAATGCATCACATGGTCCTTTTCTAGACACCTTCTTACCAGCTTTGCTGTCTCTGATTCCAGGTTCCTCAAGATTTCCTCCTTCTCAGATGTGATATGGTTCAACTCCTCCCTCTCATTGGCTCGTCCTAGTGACAGGGCAATCTCTCCTTCCAGACTGCAAAATACAGACACCTAGATGTGGATCAGTCATAAGGAAGCTGCCAGGAACCCAGTTTAGAAAGCCAAGGTCTCAGGGAGCCAGATCGACTCTCAATCACAGTGGCAAATACAACATCAGCCTAATGTAGGAATTTAATGCAAAATCGATACATAAAGCTTCTGGGGGCATCACAGTTCATGCTTCAGTATTTAACACACCAAGATTTATCAACAAAAAAAAGGAAACCTTCCTCCCATCTTCTCTTTATTTTAAAGACCATTCAGTTGAGAAGCCCTTTCCTCTCCAGCTGCAAAGCCTGACCTTTGAATAGCTTCTTCTTTCTCTTGAATTTTTCTGAGAAGAGTTTGATTTGCATCATCCAGTCTTTGCAGGTCCTTTTCAAGGTCTGAGTTCAGGTAGTCAAGATTTTGTTTGGTGACTTCTAATTTCGGTATTTCCATCATCCCCTGTCTATAGGAAAATCATCTTTCTTACTAAACTCAGGACAGGAAAACAGAGGAGCCCTAAGATTTCCCCTGGTAATCTCATTCATCCTCCCATCTTCTGCTATTACTCTAAGTAGCCCTATGTTGTAATTTTCCATGAGAAATTGATTTCTACAGTGTTTTGCATAGAATAAATTCTGGAGTCAAGTCACATTTTAATTTTTAATATTATAAGTGGAACCCATTAAAACACAAACACTTTACAAAGCAGAAGAATATTTTTCATATGAATAATTATGCTCCAACTTACTTATTTTTTAAAATTTTATATGGAACATGGCAGAATCCAAGTTATACCTTTAAAGCATTTAAAGATTTGTGAGGGTGAAGGGATTTTTTTCAATTCCCTTTTGTTACAGTCTCCTGAGGAATTTATGCTGCATATTTTCTATCCCAGTCAAGTAGGCACACAGGCTAGGTAGGGGGCAGGGGTGGAAGTGGATCTTTTCTCCAAATAAGATTGACTTGCTTTTTGAGGCATTAGAGGTTTCTGAAATTCCCCCACCATTATTAATATGAAGAGGTCCAAAGATCTGAAACTACAGTCTTTTCTCCCCTTGAAGGCTGCTGGGCCTGAGGAGATAATGTTCTACATAATGGAGGTTCTCTTCCTTGCTGGATTGGGGCACATCCTTCCCATAGCAGCTCCTCTACTGAACTTTTTTATCATCCTCATTACTTACGCATCATCCAGTGGGTCTGGTCCAACTATGTCCATTGTAGGTCTCCTAAAATGTCAACACACATTTATTATGGAAACATAGCCCCTAATGTCTAACCTAGTAACATTGCCCCACATTGACCAGGCAAGACAGAGCCAAGAAGAAACACATGCCTCCTGAACCCTCCTGCTTTTTAGGACCAATTGCAATGTTTTACTAAATTCCAGTAACCCAGATTGTGTTTTAACTTAAAATGTGTGTGTGTGAGTGAATCCCACTGGAGTTCAGAGATCTTTTTGTTTTCACATTTTGGCTACCTTTCCCTTTCCTGGCCTGCATATTTCTGGTCACAAGTAAAGCGCTAGGGGTGCTCAAACTGATGTCTATTAGCAAATGCACTCAGAGTTTACTTCTTACCCAGATCTCCAGAGAAACTTAGGGAAAAAAATAGTGAAGAGCCAGAGGGTGCCATAAAGTTGCCAGCCTCATTTCTAGGTCTATTGCCATCCAAGTTCTAAGAAGCCCTGGATGTTAGAGGCTGAGTTGATTCTGAAATAGCAGCAAAAAACAACAGGGTGGGCAGCAGGATACATCTACCAGCAGGGACTCCCAGAGATGGTGTCTCCTAACCACTGCCCCAATACTAAATAAAGTTCAGGATGGAAACCAACCCAAGAAAAGTAGAGTTCCAAACGACCCTCTCCTTTCATGTTCCATTTTCTATTCTCTTTCCTCTGAAGCTTTTTGGCTTTAATTCTCTCTTTAATTCCTTCTCTCACCTTCTTCCCTTTTCATTACTCCCCTGCATTTTTTTCTTTTTCCTACTCTTTTTACACACAAGGCATGCCAGCCTTTGATGATGCCCTCTGAACTCACCCTTCTCTTCCCAACTGAGATTTCTTCAGTTCCCACTGAGATTTCCAACTGATTGTCAGAACTTCCAGAAAAGGTATCTCCTTGCTGATTGAGTTCTCCACATATCACCAAACCTGTCCTCTCCAGTGGGGTGGGGCAGCATGTCATAGTGGGTAGAGGTGAGGAGGTGGCAACAATTCCATGTCACCCCCGTAGGCAGCATGGGAGCAGAGTTCAGAACTTCAGGGTAGTTTAAACCTCTTCCTACACAGCAATGACATCTATACAACTCATTTTTTTTAAGATTTTATTTATTTACTCATTAGAGACACACAGAGAGAGGCAGAGACACAGGCAGAAGCTTCCTGAGGAGAGCTTGATGTGGGACTTGATCCCTGAACCCCAGGATCATGCCCTGAGATGAAAGCAGAGCTCAACCACTGAGTCATCTAGACATCCCTATACAACACATTTCTTGACACAGCATAAATCCCTTCTGAAATGGCAGTCAGCTCTGTGGAACCCATTTCTTTATTTCCCCAAAGACTGAGGCCTGGTGGCAGTTGAGATCACTCTGGTTTCTCTTCCTTCTTTGACTACTCGTGATATGTGTGCAGGCTGCTGCACCCAAATCCAAATTATGCATTTCTTTTGAAGGCATCCAAGAGTCATGAAGTAGGAATGTCTAAGAGCAGGCTAGGAGGAATCAGGGATGTCTTATCTATGAGCCAAACAAGCCCTCACTTTCACCAAGTTGGATTCTTGGAGCTACAAAACAAGCTCCTTTATTTTACTTGAACCAGCATTGTCAAGACACTGGGAAGGAAAGGTCTGATGTTTTAAAGATGGAGCATATAGAAGTGCAACAGGAAGAAGGAAAGAGGAGTGGTAGGTCCAGAAACCTGATTCTACCGCCTTCTCCTTCAAAAGTCCTCCTATTCTGAGGCCTTAAGTTACCGGAGCACTAGATGGGACTTCATATGCCAGTGGCCCTCTGCTAAGCAGTTCTAGATTCTCTGAGAAGATGAGGCAGTATACAGACCTGGAGAGATACCAGTGAAGGTGTGTACTTGGAGCTCAGATCTGTCCATTGCTGTCCCTTATAGTCAATGCACTCTCCCAAGGGGTATATGTAGCCTTTCCCAGCAGAATTGTCCTAATCTCAAGTCCCTGGAAAGGTCTTACGGAACATGCCACTGTCTCTCCAAGAAAATGTCTTTCCCACACAATAATATCTGTCATAATTGTATCCATCCTTCTTAGCTCAGTTCAAATACTGCTGCTTCTACACCTTCCCAGATAACATGCCTGCAATCCCAGGAGAATGAATCCCTCCAACCTCTGTTGTCCTTTTTTGGTATTTTATGTTGTTTTTTGGAATGGGCACACATTGGTTTTTACTCCACAATTGGGCTATTAACCCCTTGAGAGAGTGTGTTTTAATGGAAGCCATTTTGATTTCCTTCCCCAGTTCTGCACCATTTACACAGAATTCAATGGGCATGGTGCCCCCTGGAGTTGTTCAAGAAGGGGGTGGCTTTTGGGGTGGCCTGGCTGGCTCAGTGGTTTACGCTGCCTTCAGCCCAGGGCCTGATCCTGGAGACCCGGGATTGAGTCCCACATCAGGCTCCCTCTGCCTGTGTCTCTGCCTCTGTGTGTGTGTGTGTCATTAATAAATAATTTTTTTTTTTTTTAAAGAAGGGGGTGGCTTTGAAAATGGAGAGTGGAAATAGGCTGGGTAGGGACAGATAGCATCTGAGTGTCCTTCCATCCTGGCACTTCATACTTGTTACCTTGGACAAGTTACTTAATCTCTCTGAGCTCAGGTCTTCTGACCTATGAGATGAGCATTATTCCTACTTCACAAAGTCATGGTAGAGATTTAATGAAATTATATATGCAAAGCTCTTAACACAGCGTGTAGCACACAGAAGCACTTAATTCTCATCCATTCTCAAACACCGTACATGCTCCACTCTTCTGTCTTATATTACCTTTTTTTTCCCCTTAAGGATTTTATTTATTTATTCATGAGAGACAGACAAAGAGAGAGAGAGAGAGAGAGAGGCAGAGACACAGGCAGAGGGAGAAGCAGGCTCCATGCAGGGAGCCCGACGTGAGACTTGATCCTGGATCTCCAGGATCAGGCCCTGGGCTGAAGGCAGTGCTAAACCACTGAGCCACCCAGGCTGCCCCTTATATTACCTTTTGCACTAGCATTATGCTGAATGTTTTTAGAATAAGTGAATGAATAAATGACTCTTTCCACTGCTTTTATCTAGAACTGGTATTATCCCCCCTTTCCTTCTTACACTTGAGAGGCTCTCACCCCGATTAGTACACTGTCATTAGCAGTACAGTGCACCATAGCAGAATTCTCAGCAGAGGGCCACGACCCCCATAGGGTTATCAGGGATGCAATCTGAAAGCTCCTGCCAAATGTCCCAGAGCAGGAGTTACCTCTGCTTGAGTATCACTGATGAAGAACGTATTCTCTATGCCAAGCTGCCTCTCTCTTTTCCTTAAAGACACTGCACAAATTCACCCTTTCCATGAACTCTTTCATGATGAACTCTTCTTAGCTTATTGCCCCAAGTAGACAATGTATACTTTGGAAATTATGTTTTCCTCTTTGCTTTGACACTAGGAAGCCAAGCCACCACCACAAAACCCCAGTTTTTGTGACTGTGCTGGACACTGTGGCCTCTGTATCTTTCCCTTAGTCCTATTTTCCTATTCATTTTTCATGTGGTTCTGATTTTTAACTTGTTTTCCACTATTCTATATTAAATATATAGTTCCATATGATATAGACATAGGTAAATGTAAACATGGACATAGTTAGAGGTATAAATAATAGCAAATAGATAAAGACCTGGGAGGGGGGTAGTGTGTTTGGGTGTCATTGGGTAAAAACATTGGCTATAGAATCAGACCAAACTGACATTGAATAAGCTGCTCCACCACTTCTCAGATGTGAAGTCTTGGACAAGTTATTCTATCCCTTAGACTTAGACTCTAGGTTTCTAGTTAGTAAAGTCTATTTGGGTCATCGTATAGCATATAAGATACTTTGAAAGTGTGAGTTCCCATAGATAAAAACTTTTTTCTTCCTCACCCCTAAATACAAACTCTTAAGAGTATGAACCATGTGTTCTTTTTCCGTGGTTTATCTGCATACAATATATAACCTGTGGATGTGAAGCGCTCACGTGAATACATACTGAAACACTTTCTTTCTTAATACAGTTCCATTTATGTTATCCTAGCAGATAGGAAGAATAATATCATGTGTATTAAGGCAACAAAGGCTTTTTGACACCTCTGTTTTTAAAATAAGTCTAAACTTAATAGCTAATTGGATTTCCTATGGCCCTCCTTACACCTAGCACTTACACTTGTGATGACTCACTTGGGAGCTCTAAGCTTCAACAGCTTAGGAAAACAAAGATTTGATGGCTCCTATTTACTGTTTTGAGTTCTGATTTTTATTCTCAACAGCTTAGTTTTATTGAGAACAGCTCCTGTTTTGTTCCAGTACATGAGACTATAGAGGAAGCCTGTGCTAATTTGCATGGCTACATAATTCAGTTTTAACCTTTTTGTTAGAAATCCCACAAGTCAGAAGGGTTTGTGTCATTACGCTATTTTAGTTCTCTACAAATATCACTTCATGGCAAGACAATTGTTGCACTGTCAGGAATTAACTCTGTTTTCTAATTAAGAGTCAGTGGATTTTATACCCAGAAGAAGATAAAAAATTTGATTTAGTATGTGTTTTAAGAACTTATATTCCTTGCTTTCCATACAAATATGTAAAAAAAATAATAATCTTTTGAGATTTAGAAGAGATCTACTTATTTTGCATTTTGTTTAACTTTTCATAACATTAAGTCTAAGTTGTCAATCAAAACTAATAGAATATGACGGGATGAGCACTGGGTGTTTTTCTGTATGTTGGTAAATTGAACACCAATAAAAAATAAATTTATTATAAAAAAACTAATAGAATAAAATAAAAATTCCCTATATCATCAGAGGGAGTTGTTTAGAAGGTTAACAGTGGAATTGTACAGTTGTTAATCAAAGTTTGTAATACCAGGATGGAAATAATAATGAATGGGATCCTCACCAAAAAAGAAAAACATCCATCTAATCAATTCATCATGATAAAAAAACTTTTCTCATGATATTCTTAATA